CAAGCCATTCAACTGCTCTGAAGATGGAGGCGATATGTTCTTCCGAAACGTCGGCCAAAACGAAGAATACACGGCGCCTAAACCCAGAAGACGACTTTCTTCATAGTCATCGCCGTGAAAACCTCAAAACTTACAAAAAACCTTTTGTGTTGTCCAGTGGTTGAGGTTAGCTCCCTCTAAGGGGCCCAACAGAGTAGGACTCCCCCCTCACCTCAAGACGAAAACAGATCCAGTTTCCGAAACGTTGTTTTCTGGTTTCTAGAATACCGGACGGCCGATCTCAGTGGCCGCGCGTTCTAAAGCATGAGCCACACTTGGATCGTGGGTTCGAATCCCACCCAAGGCATGGATACCTGTGTGCGTTTATTCTACGTTTGTGTTGTACTGTGTGTAGGTAGCGGCCTTGCTACTGGCTGATCCCCTGTTCAAGGAGTCCTATCGACTCTATATACGGCAGATTAAGAAGCTAATAGAGCGGCCAAGGTCCACCAGGGCTGTAGAGTCATAGACAGAATACCGGACGATGAACAAAGTAAAAAACCCAGTAATTCTGAGCACGGATGTTTTCTAATCAAACTAAAAACATTGGTTCTAAACGCTTGCTATTTCAAAGGCTTTATCGCTGTATTATGATACATTTCCAAGGATACATTTCCGTTGGTCATTAAAATTTAATTATGCTATTTAACTTCGTAAATTTGACGCAATTAGTATTGCAGTTATGTCTTTTATGGCATACCTCATTTGGACGATTACAACATAATGCAGTTTTCTGTACTTTGCGAACACAATTCGGTTACCTTTGGACTGATTTACGATGCACGTCCTTATGAAAGCAAGAAAATGGCGCTAGTGTCGTCTAACTTGAGGAATTTGCACATCTGTTAATATTATTGATTGTAATAAAACAAGAGAGTGGGATGACAACCAGAGCATGACATTCATTCAGAATTTTGTCTAAGATTATTGAAGAGTTATATATTATCCCCAAATTATCTGTCTTTGTTAATTATACTAAAGATAATTCATTTAAAGTTACCATAAACTTATCGGCCGATCACAGTGGCCACGTGGTCTAAAGCATGAACAGTCTTCGCTCGCTGGAACCTTGGGATCGTGCGTTCGAATCCCACTCGAGACATGGACGTCTGTGTGCTTTTATTCTGTGTTTGTGTGTGTGTAGGTAGCGGCCTTGCAATGAGCTGATCCCCCGTCCAAGGAATCCTACAGCCTGTGTATAGGATCAATAATCTGAAAACGCGGCCAAGGCCCAACCAAGTGCTCTAGAGCAATAATAATAATAATAATAATAATAATAATAATCGTAGCAAGTTTCTCACTGACACGATCAGATGCAAAAAGGGTAATGTTAGAATATCAGTTCCACAGATGTCCAACACAAGCCATCCTTGTCGCACATCTCCCCCTGATGGATGACGTGCAAGGTCTCATGGCGAGTGCTGGGTGCGTCGCATTATCCCGTATTAATGAATCACGTATCCCATTTTGATTCTGCTCACTAATTCTACCTTCTGATCACATGTAACTGCATTTGACACGAGTTCGTGGAACGGGCAGAGTATGTCTGCTTGATGAGCCACGTTTGAACCTGATACGATATTCAACGACACGCATATTCTGGTATTGAATATCCACCGTAGGTATACTAATTAGAAAAGTCGTTCCACTTTAGTCATTTCAGAAGTGATTTGCTGGCTTTAAGTTCCACCTCTGAAGTTTAAAATTGTGACAGCCAATCCTATGTAGGTTTTTAACTTCTCAAATATATATGTCTTCGACTTAACGGGTGTTCATCCCTATCTTTTTTCAATGGTTTAAACGACTGGGGCTACTCATCTGAAAAAGAAAAACAACGTGATTTTAGTCCGCAAGCGAACTATACCGACCGAGCGACCGCCGCTTGTCGGCGAAGTTTAGTGCCAACTTTTGCGGATAGAGGGTGTCGCGTGGTCAGCGCAGTGAATCTCCATGGCCGTTAATTTCGGGTTTCAAGACCGGAGCCGCTATTTCCTTGAAGTATCTCCTCAGTTGTCATCACGAGGCTGAGTGGACCCCGTTCCAGACCTACTACTTCTCAGAAAAAATGTAGTAGCACCGGGAATCGAACCCGGACTTCTGGATCTGTAGCCAGGAAAGCCAACTACTAGACCACAGAGGCGGTCACTCGTGTGAATATGTTTGCAAAGTTTCAGCTGGAAGGCGTGGATCTCCTCCTCCACTGCCAGTTGTATCCTTTCATGTTCTGGTGCTTCTGCGTTGAGGAAGTTGTCTCTCCGTCAGCGTTAACTGTAACGAAGTGGTCAGTCTGTCAGTTATTCGATTATTTACCAACCAAGCGGGTTGGTGCTCTACAATTTTATTTGGGAGGTGTAGATAAGGTAAATTTTCCTGTGGTTAACTAATGAAGCAATACGCCATGAAGGTGTATGGAAGAGTGGATATGTAGATCCATATTTACTTGATCTCGGCATTAGCTGGCGGTCAGTGGTCAGTTTCACGCCCCGGCCGATTTACCCCCGGTGAAAGAGATCCCGGTACCCATTCGATAGGAGGTTGGTTGGGCCCCAGAGTCGGTCTGGACTACGTGGAGAAAATTCTTTACGCTACAGGGACTCACTTGTCCAGTCTGTAGCCAGTCGCTATACCGACTGCACTGTCCTGGCCCTTAGTATCTGAGAGGTGTTTAGTTGAAGTTTGAACCGGTATACTGGTTATCCCGATCGATTTTTCATGATTTTCCTTACTTATTCAAAGACAATTCTAGGATAAAAGACGTGCCTCGAATAGACCGCGACCGCTTCCTTTCTGATCTTTTCAGTTAAATATTCGCCAGTCACTTCTTTCATTTGACACTATAGTATGGCGTACTGACAGTGTTGATGAAGTCACAGAACAAAGCATGAAATTCTGTCACAACTACAGGATGTGTAGGAAAGAATGGGATGCAGCAGGAATGACGAATATGATTGAAAGTGCAAGAACTCTGCATTTAAAGAGTCCTATCTTCTGGAACATAACGCCGTTGAAAGTTAACCGACGTTTCGGAGAAATGTGTCACCTCAGTTTTCAGTTTCGAAG